GCAGGGCGGTGGGAGAGTGGCAAGCTAGGGGGACCCCTGAGGTAGCAGGGAACCAGCTAGGGGCCCTAGGAGACCCCCCGGGGGACGCAGCCACATCGGCCCCTCGGGCCAAAGATCCGGACATAGGGGCAATGAACCCCCTTGAACTCGACGACGGTGACTTTCTCCACGAACAATGGGAAGACTCCATGTTGCGACATGCCTGGGCCACGGCGCGCGAAGAGGCCAAGGAGGAGGGGACGGCGGTGGAAGGGCCAGCGGGCCCGCACTTTGAAGTACACGGGGGGGGGGGGGGGAGGAGCAGACACCCCGGTGGCAACTCCTTGTCCCCCGCCGGTACCAGCACCGCCTTATGGAAGTGGCCCATGCCAACCCCTGGTCAGGTCATCTGGGGTATGAAAAAAACAGTAAAGCTACTATTACAACGCTTCTATTGGACCAGGGTGTACCGCGAGGTGCGAGACTTTTGTGAGTCGTGCCCGGACTGTCAGAGGGCGGGCCCCCGCGGCATACCCATGGCCCCCCTCGTACCCCTCCCGATAATAGACGTACCATTTGACAGAATAGCCATGGACATAGTAGGGCCCCTAGAAAAATCAAGATCGGGCCATCAATACATTTTGGTCGTATTGGATTACGCCACTCGTTACCCGGAAGCCGTGCCCCTCCGAAATACGAACGCCTCCACCCTAGCGACGGAACTGGTGAAGCTGTTTGCCCGCGTCGGACTGCCCAAGGAAATACTCACTGACCAAGGTACGAACTTTACATCTCGGTTAATGGGGGAACTATGCTGCCTGCTCCGAATCAAAAGTTTGCGGACTTCAGTGTACCATCCACAGACCGACGGTCTGGTTGAACGATTTAATCGGACACTGAAGGGAATGTTGCGGAGATTTACAGAACAAGACCCTAGAGACTGGGACGCACTGTTACCGGCGTTACTGTTTGCGGTGCGGGAGGCTTCTACGGGGTTCTCACCTTTTGAGTTCCTGTATGGGCGACAACCGTGGGGAATCCTTGATGTAATCAAGGAAAGTTGGGAGGACCAAGAGACCCGGGTAAGAGGGTCGGTACAGTATATACTAAGATTGAGACAGAAGCTACGGACGCTAGCGGACGTGGCTAGGGCCAACTTAGAAAGTGCCCAGGAAACCCAGGCCCACTATTATAACCGGGGAGCGCGCCTCAGAGTTTTCGAGCCAGGGCAGCGAGTCTTACTGTTACTCCTGACCCCGGGTTCAAAACTGGTGGCTAAGTGGCAGGGCCCTTTCAAAGTGGTGACATGCATAGGGGAAGTAGATTACGAGGTTAAAGTGGCGGGACGGTCGGGAGGTACCAAGGCATACCATGTGAACTTACTAAAGGCGTGGAAAGAGCGAGAGGCCTTGTTTGTGAACCCCCTTCCTCCTGACCCTGAGCTCGGCCAGGGAGAGGAGGGCCAGGCCACCCCGGGTATCTTACAGACGGGAGCCGACCTTTCTCCAGACCAACGCAAGGACTTGGAGGGCCTACTGAGCCACTTCCCCGATGTGCTGACGGAAGAACCAGGTCGCACCACCCTGGCCCACCACCACATCGAGACCGAACCACGAAAGAAGGTACAAGACCCGGTTCGGCCCCTACCCTGGAAGATGTGGGAGCCGGTAAGGGAGGAGTTGTAGAAGATGATACAATGGGGCGTGGTGGAAGAGTCGTACAGTGAGTGGCGCAGTCCCATAGTCCTCGTGCCGAAGCCTGACGGGTGAATGAGATTCTGCATCGAATTCCGCAAAGTGAATGCACTTTCCAGATTCGACGCTCACCCTATGCCTCGGGTGGATGAGTTGCTAGACCAACTGGGAGGAGCGCACTATCTTTCCACCCTAGACTTGACACGCAGCTACTGGCAGATCCCCTTATCGCCGACGTCGCGAGAGAAGACGGCCTTCTCAACCCCTTTCGACCTGTACCATTTTATTCGGTCTCCATGGAGCAGCAGCCACCTTTCAACAGCTTATGGACCGAGTGTTAAAGAGCCACGGCCGATACGCCGCGGCGTACATTGATGACATAGTTATCTACAGTAAGTCCTGGGCCGACCACCTGCACCACGTCAATACCATATTGCAGGAGCTCCGCCAGGCAGGCCTCATGGCAAACCCCAGGAAGTGCCACTTTGGGGAAAAGGAAGTCACCTATTTAGGCTACACCGTCGGCCGCGGCCAGCTACGACCCTTGATAGAGAAAGTGGAGGCGCTGCGAAGCTATCAGCCACCCAGACCCAAGAGACAGGTCCGAGAGTTGGGGCTGGCGGGGTACTATCGCCGCTTCGTCCCCAATTTTGCGGCAATAGCGGCACCCTTGACAGACCTAACACGGGCCGTCCTGCCCCAGAAGGTACGATGGTCCCCGGAATGAGAGGAAGCCTTCCAGAAGTTAAAAGACTGCCTGACCTGGGCCCCAGTGTCAGCCCAGCCCAACTTTAACCTTCCCTTCACTGTCTATACGGACGCTTCGGAAAGCGGAATAGGGGCTATACTATCACAGGGGGAGGGAGCAGACAAACATCCTGTCGTTTACGTTAGTCGTAAACTGTTTACACGGGAGCACAAGTACGCAACAATAGAAAAGGAGGCCTTGGCTGTAAAGTGGGCGATTGACCTGTTGCGCTACTATCTTTTAGGTAACCGTTTCCAGATGGAAATGGACCACGCCCCCCTGCGATGGCTACAGACTATGAAAGATTCGAACGCACGGGTAATGCGCTGGTACTTAACTTTACAGCCCTATGCGTTTGACGTAGCCCACAGGGCCGGCACGAAACACCAAAACGCCGACTTTTTTTCGAGGCGGTATGAAGGAGAGGAAGACACAGAACACAGTGCTGCGACTAATTTAAGGGGGGGTGTAACGGGGCACTATCGCCCCGCACTGCGACCCCCGCCAAGCAGGCATTGCTCAGCATCTGACCAGAGGC